GCGCACTCTAATTCTAAATTACTGAAATATACCCAAGGAAAAACATTCACTTTCACCCTTGAAAGCTAACAAAAATTATAAATTATAAAGTCTTTTTTTCCTTTCCCAAATTATATTAATACATTGAAAAGAATGATCATAAATAAATAAAATTAAATAAATATCCTCCTTATCCAAATGTCCACAGGTGCAATTCCAAAAAAAACTATAGTCCTCTTTTTTTCTTCCAAGAAAATATCTCTCTTATTTTCAATCTTCAAGTAATGTCCAAATATTCATATACCTCAAAAACCAAAAAAACTCAACATAGTGTATTATCCTTATATCAAAAGGAAAATCGTGCCATACATAGTGAGTCACATCAAACACTAAGCTTCAGGAGCTTTTCTGCGTTGTTTTTTTTTTTTCCAGCAGCCCGTGAACTCTCCCTAATGTTTTCCTATGTGTCCATGTACACTATGTTGTTTACAGGCAGTTGAATTTACAGTCGTTCAGGAGACAATTTGCATTCAAAAGTAGATTTTATCAGCGTTTCAAATGCTAAAACGCAGCTGCGTTTTATAAGCGTTTGCATTTAAAAGCGGTTAACTGTCCCATAGCCAGATGCTGTCCGGAGCCTTTTTTCATCATCAGAAATGCATGCAAAGCGTTTTTCGTGTACTCAAATGGACCCGGTACACCAGCGCAGTCCGTTCCAGGTTTTGCGTGAAGCAAAAAAATGCTAGAACGTGCCGCATTATGCTCATGATGGGATCCATAGTGAATACAACCAGAAAAGACAGGTCATCTCAACACATACTGCTCTCTCTGCTTCTGCTCTCTCTATTCCTCTCAAAATGTCTGAAATAGTTATTTACTGTTTTTTTTTTTTTTTTGCATTCTGGGCATTTTGGAGGGTCTCCTGAGGTTATCTTTAAAAAAACGCTTCTAAATGCAAACGCGGCTAAGTATATTTTTTTAACCTACGTTTTCCAGCAGTCAGTTTTTCATCATTCAGAAGTGTTTTCCAAACGTCCCGTGTACCTGAGCCCTTATATCATGCAGCTTGCCAGGAGCCAATGACCTGTGACCTATGAACTCTGGCTGTCCTTGAGAAAAAAAAAAAATACAGGAGGCCATAATTGCTATAAAATTCCAATATACGCTGAGTTTCATGAGCATCATGTAGATTGGTGTTACGTGTACCTGTATTAAATACATTTTAAGCATTCGGTCTATGTTTAAAACAGATAAAAAGGCAGGTCATTTCATTTCCTAAAGCAGTGCACAACCTAGAAAAAGTTATTTTTTTTTTTTTTTTTTTTTTACCCCATTTCATTATTTTTTGTATACTGATCCGGCTGATTTCTCTGCAGCCATTTGCTTTGTACTGCTGCACATAGTCGCTCTGTACTGGCTTCCTGACGATGATGTGGACACGAGCAGAATTGGGAATTATGGCAGGGAGATTTTTGTTGGAGCATCCAAGTCGTAAAGCAATAATAATAATTAAAAAAATGAAATGAAATTTACATCCTTTTTTTTTTTTTTTTTTTTTTTTTTACCAGAAATAGAGCTTTCTTTTGGTGGTATTTGATCACATGTGTGGTTTTTTACCAACTATTTTGAGGAAAAAAAATATTTTTAAATTTTTGCTATAAAACATGTCCAATAAAAAAAAAAGTGAAAAAAATCAAGTGTAGCCATACATTCAGGGCAAAATGTATTCTGCTCCATGTCTTTGCTTAAAAAAAACAAAATCCTAATACGTGTAAGGTATAGCGTTTACAAATAGCGTTTTTGTATACTGAAATTTTTATTTTATTTTTAATTTTTTTGTACTAGTAATGGCGATTAGCGGGACTGCGGTGGGCATTCTGACATTGGGGGGGAACTGACTTGGTGTCACTGACATCCCCAGTGACACCAATACAGTGATCAGTAATTCTAAAAAGCACTGACACGGTACTAATGGCACTGGGCAGGAAGGGGTTAACATGTGGGGTGATCAAAGGGTTAACTGTGCTGTTTTACTATGGGGGGCTGTGTGTGTGTTTCACTGTAAGCACATTGCTTTGTATGGCTCTGCAATGCAGAGCCATACAAAGCAGTTTGCAGGAGCTGACAGGGGAGAGAATAGTATTGTTTATACTCGGCGATCATCGGGTGTTGGCGAGAAATCACCGTCTGGGACCCGGTGATTGACAGACGAGGCCGCGAATGGTGGCGCAGTTAAGGCACGCGCCCCCAACCTGGAACTGCAAAATTCTGACATTGGGGGGAAACTGACTTGGTGTCACTGACATCCCCAGTGACACCAATACAGTGATCAGTAATAATAAAAAGCACTGTCACGGTACTAGTGGCACTGGGCAGGAAGGGGTTAACATCTTGGGCGATCAAAGGGTTAACTGTGTGCTGTTTCACAGTATACTGTGTGTGTGCTTTCAACTGTAAGCACACTGCTTTGTATGGCTCTGCTATGCAGAGCCATACAAAGCAGTGTGCCAGAGCTGACAGAGGAGAGAACTGTATTGTTTACATGCAGTTCTCTCCCCCGTCGGTAATACTCGGCCATCACCGGATGCCGATGAGTAATTACCAGCTGGGACCCGGTGATTGACAGCTGGGGCCACGAATCCCCCATCAGTAATACTCGGCCATCACCGGATGCCGATGAGTAATCACCAGCTGGTACCTGGTGATTGACAGCTGAGGCCGCGAATCCCCCGTCAGTAATACTCGGCCATCACCGGATGCCGATGAGTAATCACCAGCTGGGACCCAGTGATTGACAGCTGAGGCCGCGAATGGCGGGGCAGGTAACTCGTGCGCGCCCCCCCCCCCCCCTGGAACTGCAAAATCATGTACATATACGTCGTGATTTTTCACACCCCTGCCGCCCTGTAGCAGATTTCTGCTATAGGGCGGAGGGGAAGCTGTTAAAGGAAGGTTGTGCTACGTTTATTACACATTTCCATGCACACTATAGAACAATAAGTCTAGGCCCATTATTCACGCTCATCTCTAAACTGATGACTTGTAAGGGATTTTATAGTGTCCCCGGTGGATAAATGTGGGTACTAACTCATTTCACAAGTGTATTCCGTTTTAGGGCTTGCCATGTTTGATATCTACTTACTCATTGCATTTGTGTGCACTAAAATTAACATTGGTGTGTTTTTAACAGAAAATTTGCTTTTGACAAACCATTGAAGTTATATCATGTGCGGGGCGGACTGACCATTTGGAAACTCGGGCACTGCCCGAGGGCCCGGGGTCAGTAGGGGGCCCCATGAGATGCCCCTGGTACCTTTTTCATAGGCTTTTTTGAGTTTGGGCAAGGACACAGGGGCCCCATGTACCCCAATTGCCCGGGGGCCCCATGAGTTGTCAGTCCGCCCCTGATCATGTGACTAAAAAAAATGCAACTACCACCATGTTCTAAAATGCTTTCAGAAAATATAAAATGTTTGGGGGTTTTAGCTAATCCTCACGTCCAAAATGTGCATTTTATTGCAAAAACAGCCTTGGCAGTGAAAGGGTTCAGTATCTATTTTTGTGTACTACTTCTTATCCTGGAAAAAGAAAACTAAAGTTCAATTTTACAGATCATAATGGATTTTGACCACTTGTTTCTCGTGTCTATCATTAGTGTTTGCTTTCAGGGTTTAAGAAAAAAAAAACAAACCTTGGGACGTGTTATGATTTGCCTGGAAAGAATGTCTTAGGTTCAGTAGTAGGCAGAACACGGTGGGAGCTGTTGGATATGAAGTTCTGATCACTGAAGAATCCACCGTAACCACAATGCAGGTTTTCGGGCTGTTCAGTTGTGCCGGCGGACGTGGTAGGTGATCTGTTTACCCGTTATGATGCCGTGGGATTCTGTTACTTGTGGGATTCCTGTATTTATTCAGGGAATGACGTGCTCTGTAGCTCTCGGGGAGCGTGGTATTTAACCTGTCTGCTGCTGGTGAGATTTTATTGGAAAATTGTGCAGGTGACACTAATGTGCAGTTTGTGTAGCTGTCTGAATGCTGTACCAGGTGGTCACACATCAGAGGGCTCTGTGTTTTTTTTTTTTTTTTTTTTTTTTTCTTCAGAACCTGCCTTGAACACATGAGCGTTTTTATCAAACCTCTAAGGCCTCCTTCACATGGCCATTTAGATGCATCTGACCTTTTGCTCTCTAGTTCCCGTGTCACCTCCTCCCATGCTTGCCTCCAGGACTTGTCCCGAGCTTCTCCCATCCTATGGAACGCTCTACCCCAATCTGTCCGGCTGTTTCCTAATCTATCCACCTTTAGATGATCTCTGAAAACCTTTCTCTTTTAAAGAAGTCTATCCTGCTTCTACCTAGTATACCGACATTTAATTCCTCCATCAGCTCATCTCCCCCACATTTATTTATTTTTTAAATTTATTTCAGGTACTTATATAGCACCTTCAATGTACGCAGCACTTTACATATATATTGTACATTCACATCAGTCCCTAACCCTCAAGGGGTGTACAATCTAAGGTTCCTAACTCACATTCATATATAAACATACTTGGGCCAATCAGGGGCGGACTGACAACTCATGGGGCCCCCGGGCAATGGGGGATCATGTGTAGCTCTCTGAATGCTGTACCAGGTGGTCGCACATCAGAGGGCTATGTGTTTTTGGTTTTTTTTTTTTTTCTTAACCTGCCTTGGACACATGAGCGTTTTTATCAAACCTCTTAGGCCTCCTTCACATTTAGATGCATCTGACCTTTTGCTCTCTAGTTCCCGTGTCACCTCCTCCCATGCTTGCCTCCAGGACTTCTCCCGAGCTTCTCCCATCCTATGGAACACTCTACCCCAATCTGTCCGGCTGTTTCCTCATCTATCCACCTTTAGACGATCTCTGAAAACCTTTCTCTTTTAAAGAAATTTATCCTGCTTCTACCTAGTATACCGACATTTATTTCCTCATCTCCCACACATTTATTTATTTTTTAAATTTATTTCAGGTACTTATATAGCGCCGTCAATTTACACAGCGCTTTACATATATATTGTACATTCACATCAGTCCCTAACCCTCAAGGGGCGTACAATCTAAAGTCCCTAACTCACATTCATATATAAACATACTAGGGCCAATCAGGGGCGGACTGACAACTCATGGGGCCCCCGGGCAATAGGGGATCATGGGGCCCCTGTGTCCTTGCCCAAACTCAAAAAAGCCTATGAAAAAGGTACCATGGGGCCCCCTACTGACCCCGGGCCCTCGGGCAGTGCCCGAGTTTCCAAATGGTCAGTCCGCCCCTGGGGCCAATTTAGACAGGAGCCAATTAACCTACCAGCATGTCTTTGGAGTGTGGGAGGAAACCAGAGTACCCGGAGGGAACCCACGCAGTCACAGGGAGAACATGCAAACTTCAGGCAGGTGGTGCCGGGGTTGGGATTACCTTTTGTATCACTCAACCCTTCCTCCTAGATTGTAAGCTCTAACGAGCCGGGCCCTCTGTGTCCTCTGGTACCAAATTGTATTGTAACTGTAATGTCTGCCTTCATTTTGTAAAGCGCTGTGCAAACTGTTGGCCCTATATAATTTCTGTATAATAATAATAATTCAAAGATTCCAGCTGCAAGAATTGGCAAATTCTTGCAGCTGGAATGACCGAGACATGTGAATAGCAGCGGCCACTCAGCCCATATAACTGACAGGCTGACAGCGGGTGCCGCTGTTCACATGTAGCCACACACAAAGCAGTTACCTGCGTTTAGGGACAGGGGTCTGAGCTGACTGCATCCAGGCTTGGAACATCTATTACATCCCCTTAGGCTCCATGTACACCGGACACTTCTGAACGATGGAAACTGACTGCTGGAACACGTAGGTTAAAAAACGTCTGTTTAGCCGCATTTGCATACCGCGTTTATGAGCGTTTGCATTTAGAAGCGTTTTTTTAAAGATAACCTCAGGAGACCTTCCAAAATGCCCAGAATGCACTGAAAAACAGTAAAAAGTTAACGATTTCAGACATTTTGAGAGAAATAGAGAGAGGTGGTGTTTGGATGTGTTCCGGCTCATTTCTGTGCAGAAGTTATTGCAGCCGTGTCTAACATTATTTAATATTATTATACAGGATTTATGGCGCCGACAGTTTTCTCATCGCTTTACAATATAACGGGAGAAAATACAGCACATATTTTCTTTCATGCGAAACCTCAAAGTATGGTGTGCCGGGTCCATTTGCGTACTGGGAAAGCGCTTTGCATGCATTTTTCATGATGAAAAAAGGCTCTGGACAGCATCTGGAAATGGAAGAGTTAAAAAAAATTTCCAAACGCTTATAAATGCGGTTAGCTGCGTTTACACGTGTTTGGCATTTGAAACGCTGATAAAATCTACTCCTGATCGCATGTTTGGTGCGTTCAAAAAAACGACTGTAAATGCAACTGCCTGTAAATGACTGTAAACGTCCTAGTGTACATGGACACATAAAAACATTGGTGAGAGTTCAGGGCTGCTGGAAAAAAACGCAGAAAAGCTCCTGAACGTCAGTTTATCAGCTGCAGTGTACATGGAGCCTTACATGTGGGAAAGCAAAAGAAGATCAGAAGCATCTCAAATGAAAGGTGAATGCATTCTAAACCATTGATCATCTGCCCTTACATTTGTGACAGCCTTGTGATATGCCTGCAAATTAAAAAGAAGGACCCCTTCATGTTTGGTAACCCCTTTATGCCCAAGTAACACATAAAATTTTTTTTGGGTTGGACAGAATAGTAAATGAAGACCCCAGTCAGGTTTTTTTTTGCATGGTATCCCCTCTTAGAGAACTGAACATTGGGAGTTTTCTCCTTCACTTCTATGCCTTTGACAACTCAAAATGTTCTTTCTAGGATGATTTTCACTAGGACCAATAGTGAGGATCAGTCTTCCCAGGGGTAGCATGCTAGGGTCCATTCACATGGGTGATTAGCAAACCCTGTGAATTCCATGAAATTGTACTATAATGTCTTGGTATGCTGACGCCTTAAGAGTTCCCTTCACTGGAACTAGGGGGCCAAGCCCAACCCTTGAAAAGCACCCCCACACCATAATCCTCCCCCACCAAACTTTACACTTGGCACAATGCAGTCAGGCAAGTACCGTTCTCCTGGCAACTGCCAAACCCAGACACATAAATCGGATTGCCAGACAGAGAAGCGTGATTGGTCACTCCAGAGAACACGTCTCCACTGCTCTAGAGTCCAGTGGCGGCGTGCTTTACACCACGGCATCCGACGCTTTGCATTGCACTTTGTGATGTAAGGCTTGGATGCAGCTGCTCGGCCATGGAAACCCATTCCATGAAGCTCTCTACACACTGTTGTTGGGCTCATCTGAAGGCCACACCAAGTTTGGAGGTCTTTAGCTATTGACTCTGCAGACAGTTGGCGACTTCTGCGCACTGTGCGCTTCAGCATGCGCTGACCCCGCTCTGTCATGTGACGTGGCCTACCACTTGGTGGCTGAGTTGCTGTTGTTCCCAGTTGCTTCC